GAACTTCAAAATGCCAAGAGTGAACAGGAATTTTTTCTCATTAGTTGTTAACACTCTTAAACAAGGATCTCCCTAATGTTTCGATGTATTCAGTTCTGAATACGGTAAACAGTCACAGCTTACTAACTGGGATATCATGGAGGCAATGATGTAGTCATGTAAGAGATTACAAGTCGTGAGTGTAATATTTCGCTAAATTTGCAAAACTTTCAACAACGCTCAGCTGCCCTCACAGACCATTCCATTGGTCCACGTGTCTACGTGATTTTGACTTAACAATATGATGCACGCGCTTTGCCTGACTGACAAAAAAACTTATTTAGTAAACACCATCTTTATAAACCAGCCAAGTCAAAGCAAAATCCTTGGCTCTAAATGAAAACCTTCCGGAGAGCATGTTGAAGATAAGCAACCCATACTTACCACCAACTTTGTTGAAATCTTCAGGCATGAACGAGTGCAGGTAAAGAACGTGTTGACGGCAGTTGTTTAAGCTCAACTGATTGGTCTGGCTTTCCAAAATCTAGTAAAAAAGCTAGGTGCTGAGGTGACAGTGTCAGGAAAATGAAGGAAAGAATCTACCTCAGACCAGGCCCGCGTTTGCAGTAGATTAAACTTGCCAGGAAACAGACATTCTTTCTCGCTCTGCTTCTGGGCAGCACCAATTAAGCGCTCAATCTCTTCCTTGCAATTGTCGAGTTCTTGCTGCAGTTGAGCCGTTCGTTCTCTGTACTTGCAAACGATACTGTCCTTCTCTATAACCTGCGATTGAGACTTTTCGAGCTCACGCTTTAGCTGCAACAGAAAAAAGAACATAATGATAGCTAAAAGAAATTGGCCACTGCATTGCCTCGTTGAGAGCGCAATTAGACTTGTCCAACTCGAGGTTTAACTCCTTCATGCTCTCCTTAAGACCTTCATGCATTTCCTCATCAATTTGGTGCATCTGTTCATAGTCTTCGATCGATTCTTCGGTCTCTCTTAATTTCGATTCTAGATGTAGATTCTTTTCTGTGAGCTGTTCCACCATTTCCTCAGCACCCATGGCTACGTCCACCTACAACAAACAAACTGAAACACTACGCCTAAAAGGCAATACAAACCTGCTCCTTCAACTCTGACAACAGTCGTTCGTAGTTTTCGACGTCCCGAGTGAAGTTCTCATTCTTCCGTTGTATTTCCATCGAACTGTCCTTCACACTTTGAATCTCTTTCATGAGGCGCTGGATTTGCCGCTTGTCGTGAGTCGATATGTCCCTTATCCTAAAACAGCGTCAACTTTCACTGATCACAACTTTAGGAATATTCCAAATGGTGGAGATACCTCACAAGTGCCTCTCTAAGCCTCTCGTTCTGTTCTTCTAGCTGCTTTTCATGAAGATTAGAAGACATGAATTCGACTCCTAAAAATTCTGAGTCATTTTCATGAAGCTACAGTAAATTTGGAGGTTAGAAAATTTTACCACCACATCTCCAGATAAAACTACGATAAATCATAAGAAGAAAAAGTATAATCAAATACTCCAAAATTGGTTCATATGCTGAAGTATGCCAAATAACGCATAATTCTTCATTCGGTCTTTGAGGAGTTATGCGTAATTTATGAAATGCAACATTCACAATTATTTAGAACTACCATATTATTGACGTAAAAAATGCGTCTAGAAACCACGAAGATAATATCAGACACTAACTTTCGAACTGCAACCACCCTAATGCAAAAATCAAAAAAACTGGGTAGTTTGTAACAGCTTTGAAACTCTTACAATCATTATCCCTGAGGCTAAGGCATCCGTTACTTCATACAAAAGCAAAAACAGGAAAACATGAAATCAGTAAAATCATTCAATACAGAAAACAGCATAAAACACTTTATGTATGCAACGTGCAATCGGGTGAATGATCAGTACCGACGCTTTGGTCCTTGTCTCATGGGTTTTCTTTAAGTTAGAGACGTTGGCAGACTTTGGAACCTGCTTTTGTAGTTTGCAGCTGTTAGTAAGTTCAGAGAAAAAAGGAGAGCCTCCGGGCCGTGCTACTGATTACACAATCTTCAAGGAATGACAAGCCTCATCCAATTCGCGCAAAGTTCGTATTCTTTGGTCGCAGCTGATCCTATCACAAGACGGGATAAAAAA